TAAAAAAAAAAAAAAAAAAAAAAAAAAAAAAAAAAAACAACTTTAAAAAATCTTACTCTTGCTGAAGACATTTTAGACTTTAACCAAATCCTTAAACGTTTTGCCAAAGTCAAATTCATAACAAATGTTCCCCAAACTGCTGTTTCTCTACAAGATGATTTGTGAAGTTATACACCGTGTGGAGATTCAGATGAGCGTAAGTAGCAGGAGACCTGTCGTAGATCCAGCTTTTTCAAGGATCGTGGCCCATGCTCACGCTGCTGGGAATCAGTGACCTCCCTTGTACCCGATCTATTGTTAAGCAAGGACAAGAAGAATTTTGGCCAGTTTGGGGTAGCTTGACCAGTTGCCTGGTCTCTGTGATTCTTCTGACTACCAGGAGAGCTCCTGGGGCAGAGACTGTCTGTTTTCATTTTGTAGCACCTGACCAGGCGCCTCGTAAGAGCTCAGAAAATTGCCTGCCTACATGTTTGTTAGTGAGTACCTCAGTTTTCCACCAGGGATTCGTGAAGAACCTGCTTTGCTTTGCTTCTGTTTGAAACAGTCACCAGCCTCTGTAACGCCTTTCTCCTGAAAACGGTGTCAGAACATCAAATTTAAGGACACGAGAATAAGATATCAGAGCCAGGAGCAGAGAACGGCTGGACAGTGCCGTGAGGGGTGGTGTTCTAAAAGAAGACTGCATTTTGAGTCAGAAGTTCGTCTGGTTTAGCAGCTTTGCTTTGTGAGTCTGGAGAAGTCACCAGTCTTTTTCTGCACTCCAGTCTGCTCATCTGAAAAAGAATAAGGATAGCAATAAGAGCCCCGACTTCCTGCCTGGATGGGTGTAGGGACAAGTGAGGTTGTGCTAAAAGGATTGCTTCAGTGCCCCAGAAAATGCTCTCTCCTTTCTCTGCCCCTCTTTACCTTCTGATTTTGTGTATATCTATCCCAGCCGACTTGGGGGACTTAATTTCATGATTCCATTGGAAAAGAGAAGACAAGAGGAACTCACCTCCCCCTGGTGCTTTGATTAGCGGATTGAGAATTTTACAGCCTTGTAGCACTGTCCATATTAGCTGGAAACACAGATCATCTGTGTTTCACCCTGAACGTCAGGCAGCTCAGCCTGTTTGATTATAAAATGAAACTAGAAGTAATTGCCACTTGAAGAAGAACTTCATACAGAATGCCTCCGTTCCTAGGAACTCCCATTCCACATGAAAACTCAAGGTCTTTGTCAAGGGACAGGTAATTGGGACACACCAAATGCAATACCAAGGCTGCTAGCATTCATCATTCAGGCCAGCCTTCTCCCCACCAATCATAGTTTCTCAAATCCTGCATCGTATTTGCATGCCATTTTCTTTTTCAGGACTGAACAGAGTTGGAACTATTGAGGGTGAATAAGCAGACTGGAATGGGGAAGGACAGCAAATTGAGAAATAAACTCTCACTTCGGAGTCATACTGAAACTTGATACTCGGGTTTGCCAATCGCTCTGTCCTCAGAAGTTCTTTCCTCCGGGCTATGGTAGGTGGGGTGATGAGAAGAAAATTCTCCGATGTCCTTGAAATGAATGAACAACTTTATAGTGGTTCCCTAGGTAGTGGATTCCCCTGTTTATTTTAATAAATCCGGGGGTGGGGGGCATGTGAAACATTAGCAGGGATCGCAGATGCGCACACACAGACCAAGGACGTTAAACTGAAAAGGGCTTAGTGGGATTTTAAGAGGGAGAAATAAGAAAAATTTTTTACAAGTTTATAGTTTCAGTAAAAAGATTGTGGGTATAGAAAGTAGAGTTTTTATTCACTCATCTTAAAAATAATTCGAAAAATTTAAGTGACGCACATACAAACAAGAAACGTGACGAACGGGCTAATAATATAAACAGTTGTAGGAAGATTCTGTGCTTCTCCCCAGCCCCAGTTCCGTGGTTAACCAAGTCTTTCGGGGTGGGGCTGTACTGGGCGTTAGGTACATACCATACAACTCTGTTCCTCTGGAGGTTAATTAATTAATTAATATGCCTGGGCAGCTAATTCTGTGTTTATCACAGAATTAGGCATTGACTTCCTAGTCTAAACGCTAAGCATTTCCACCGAAGGTAGTTATACCTTATCTCCAACCCTTCTATTGGTTGCCTTTGCCTGTTAAATTACTAAGATTACACACCTTTCTCTCCATCCATCACAAAGGCGGGAAGTCTTTCCTCCCCCCTGTGAGAGGTCTGGATCCTGTGGCTCCCACTCCCCCCACCCCCCGCGGCACGCCCGTCTACAGCAGAGGTGGGTATTTGTGACCATCTTTCTCCCGTTTTCTCTTCCTTCCCTCCTTCCTTCCTTCATTCCTCCCTCCCTCCTTCTCTCTCTTTCTTTCTTTCTTTCTTTCTTTCTTTCTTTCTTTCTTCTTTCTTTCTTCCTTCTCTCTCTCTCTTTGGTGGGGAGACAGAAGGAATACTTAGTCACGCGTCATATGGTAAGCCCCGCTTACCGCCGTGGTTGCAATTGTAAACCCACACACTTTTCACACCCACTAGAGAAGAGAAGTAGTGTCTCTAAAGCTTTACGCTCAGAGAAATACAGGCCTGTAAAGGGGCATCCCTGAGCTCTGCGGTCCGGTTTCCACCCCCACCCCCCACCCCCGCCCCGCCTCTTGCCCCTCGAGGTCCCGGCGAGGCTGCGGCGTTTCCCGGCTGCGTCTCGGAGCAGAAGAGGCCCTGGAACCCCGGGGCGCCGCGCTGCCCTCGCCAGCAGTGGGCACTCCGGCTGCCATTAATTCGGGGTAACATTTTAACAAGACTTTGCAGTGACTTGAATTTAGAAGGCCAAAGACCTCACGTTTGGTGCTTTAAAACACACAAAGCCCAAAAAGCCGGGAGTGTGGGTCCAGGAGAGCACCGCCAGCGGGGCCACCCTGGTAACGAGGACCCAAGGACTGCGACGTCGTGCGCTTGAGTCGAGGCGTTTCGAGACCTTAGCTTTGTGGCCTGGTGCCCGCCCAGCGCGGGTACACTCGGCCTGAAACGAATCCGGTTCCGAGGTGGGAACGAGGGCTCCGCTTTTGTGCTGGTCCGGGAGTCTGCCTGCCGCGCGCAGGCTTCAGAAGGTCGTCTGGACGTGACATCCGGGACTGACTTGCTCTGGCTAGGGGAGGGGGTTTGGGTCTCGGCGGGCTATTTTCTGCTGCGCGTAACATTGAACCCAGTATCCGCGGGCTGCGCTTTACCGAGCGAACGGAGTTCGCGGCCGCGTCTGCGCGGTCCCGGCGGCGGGAGCGGCGGTTCTCCGTGGGCCACATCGGTGCAAGAAAGGACCGGTGCCCCGGGCGCCCGCAGTGTCACTGTGCCGGCGAGGGCGCTGGCCGCGCGGCGGGCTGGGACTGGCCAGGAGCGGCGGCGGTGGCGGGTCCGGCGCGGAGCAGCGCCCGGGACATGCCCCACCCTCGCTCCTACCCCCTCCCTGGCGTCGGGATTGGTGGCGGGTCCCGCGGAGGGTGGGGTGGGGTGGGGGGCGCGGGGCGGCGGTGAGGACCAGAGCCAGCCCCGCCGCGCGCTGCCCGCCGGCATGACCGGGTTGGGCACCTGCCCCGGGGCCGACTCGCCGACCCCCTCGGGGACAGGAAGGTGCAGGGGGAGGCGGCGGGGAGCAGCGGGGCGCCGGCCGGGGCGGCGGGGCCCAGCCAAGGGCGAGTCTCGCATCCGGCGCCTTCTAGGTGTGGCCGAGACTGAGCGCCTTCGGCTCGCGCCGGGACGGACCCCGCGGGCAGCAGCTCGGACGCGGGGGCGGGGGCGGTGGGGTGGGGTGGGGGACACAGCGTGGGGGCGAGGGCGAAGATAACTGGGAAGGACTTGGGAGGAGTGGGCTTTTGCGGGGCAGGTGCCGGGAAAATCCTGCGTCCCGCGTCAGTGGCCTTACCCTTGAGAACTCGCTCCTAAAGGGTTTTTTTTTTTTTTTTTACCTCCGGGAAACCATGGAGCAGCAGGTGTACAATTGTCTTGGGGGCGGCAGATGAAATTTTAAAAAAGGGTCGAGAGCAAACTCCCGAGCATCGCCAGGTATAAATGTTAACACGAAATTTTGCGCGTTGGGGAAAGGTTTTAAAGGTGTCAGCTAACCAGGCAAGGCCCTCCGCAAAAGGAAACTCGAATCCCTTATAGAGAGCGGATTTCTTCTTCATTCTCAGGTAAGAAATGGGGAGACTGATACAAATAAAACTGTTGGTCATTGATTGGAGCTGGAAATGCATTCAACAGCACCTTTCAGACAGATGTGCAAAGCTTGAGAATTTCAAGCGATACAAGCTGTGGTCTTGGGCTCCTTTTTTCCAGATGCTGAAATTTGTGTTAGAAAAGCCGGGGACGGTGGCCTCTAGTTGTGAGAAGTTCCAGCTCATTCCGCTTTCAGTCTTTTGAAGTTGAGGGAGAGTTTGTTTTTCTTTTTTAACAGAAGGAATAACACGGCCGGACCTTATTTTCATCTTACTAATGTCAAATAATTGTCTTCCGCATAAATAACTTTATTAAAATTTGTTTTCCTATTTTTATTTTATTTTTTTATTATTTTTTTATTAAAAAAATTTTTTTTAACATTTATTTATTTCTGAGACAGAGAGAGACAGAATGAACAGGGAAGGGGCAGAGAGAGAGAGGGAGACACAGAATCTGAAACAGGCTCCAGGCTCTGAGCTGTCAGCACAGAGCCCGACGCGGGGCTCGAACTCCCGGACCGCGAGATCGTGACCTGGCTGAAGTCAGACGCTTAACCGACTGCGCCACCCAGGCGCCCTGTTTTCCTATTTTTAAATAAAAATTTAAGGAGCACTCCGAGGGAAAACTATTATCCCTGTCCCAGTCCGAACTTCAGTGATTCCCCCCGGACACGTTATGTCCGCATCTACAATCACAAAGACAGGTCGGATTTTCTCCTTCTACCCCCCCCCCCCCAATGGGATCATTTTCCTTGCTATTCTGCAGCTTGCCTTATCAGTCAACCTTATATCATTTGGCGTCCCTGTAGTTCTAGAAGACGAACCTCTATTTACTCTCGAGTGGGGTCAGCCGCACTCGTCCTGTCTCCAGTCCAACGTAAGTGTGTATCTTGACTCAATCCTCTCCTGTACAGCTGAGTCCTAAGACTCCCTCTCATTCTTGTGAACACTGTGTGCCCACGAACCGATCGGAGAATGCTTGCGCTTCAGATACCGCAGAAGGGGGAAGAAATCGCACGCCCTAAGTGCAACCTTTTTTACGCAAAACATCAGTTCTTTCTGTATCCCGTCTCAGCCAGGCGGTGGTTGGAAAGTTCCGATGGCGGTGCGCCGTTTGGGACCCTGTCCTTAAGTTGCCTGCCTTCCTGGGGCCGGTGGTGGCCCTTCCAGGCAGCTCTCTGGGCCCGTCAAGGACTGTCACACTCCAAGACAGTCGGCTTCCCAACACGCTGAGTTGGCTGGAGTGGTGAAATCTGCCCCAGCAGTCACCGGCCGGCGGACTTCCCGGTGCTCCCGTTCGGGCATCACGGTTAATATTAACTTCCACTATCACGCTCCCCGGGTTTGGACGAAAGAGCCTGCGGGGCGCCGCTTTTCGGACTTCCCTCCGGCTGGAGCGACGTCCGCACTCTGGGGGTTGGGAAGCAAGTCCACCCCCAGCCGAGGCGGACGTGAACGGAGGAGAGGCCTTCCTGGAGGCGGCGGCGCCGGGCTCTGGCGGTACCCGCCTGGCGACCGGAACTGGCTCCCCCGCCCCCACTCCTAACCGCAGGCGGCCGCGGGGTCGAGTACTTGCCCCCCCCCCCCCCCCCCCCCCCGCCCCGAGCAGGGCATCCCCGCGGGCCGGCCTTATACGCGGGCGGCCACTGGCCCGACTGCCGGGGGGCGGGACGCGCCCCCAGCCCACGGCCGCCCACGCGGGACTCGTCTGGCGCAGGATCCGGCCTTCTGCACCGTGTGCGGCTGCCTCGGGGCCGTCCGGCGACCCCTACACCCTCGCGACTCCGCGGGGCCCCCTCCGGCCACAGGCACCCGGGCTCGGTCTCCCCAAGCCCGGGCCTGGCCGCGTGGAGCCTGGCCGCGTGGAGCCTCGCGGCGCCCGCCAGCGCCCCCTAGCGCCCCGCGCGCGTCCTACGGCGGGAAGCCCTCCCCGCGCACCGGCCGCGGCTGCCCGGCCTCCTCCCGAGGCGCCCCCCTGCCCCGACGGCGCGCACCGACCCAGCCGCGGCCTCCCGCGGGGCCGCTCGGGCGCGGGCTCGAGTCCTCGCCTCTGTCCCCCGGCGTCCGTTGCCAGCGCACGGAGCGTTGCCGCAGCCGCCACAACGCGCGAAACGTTCCTGGCTTTCTCACAACCGACGTTTGAGCGAGAACAACGTTTAACGTTGTTGGCATCTCAAAGGCGAGGCACCGGGCGCCTGGGTGGCTCGGTCGATTGGGCGGCCGACCTCGGCTCCGGCTCAGGTCTAGATCTCAAGGTGTGTGAGTTCGAGCCCCGCGCCGGGCTCTGTGCTGACAGCTCGGAGCCTGGAGGCCTACTTCGGATTCTGTGTCTCCCTCTCTCTCTGACCCTCCCCATGGTGGCTCTCTGTCTCTCCCTCTCTCTCTCTCAAAAGTGAATAAACATTAAAAGAAAGGAGATGTGCCCTGCTTAACGTATATAAAACCCATCCTTTCCCATTTTCTGTATATGCACTTCATTTCACATTCAGACATGATTTTAAAAAAACAAGGGTTTTACAATACTTTTTATTCTTACAAGATAATAAAATCTTTTTATAAAGTGGAAAATTAATGGTCCCTAATAGAAAACACTTTTTCCCCCCTCCTAACGTTATCTCCTTCCATCTGGTTTTAAGCTTGTAATGAACATTTATTGTGTATTGTCCACATTTCAAATCGTTGTCTCTCCAGTTCTCTGTTACTGACATCTTTGTAAGTTTGGAAGTAAAGCCCTAAAAATATTCTATGTATTTGGAGATGTTATATTCTTTTGCCAAATTAAATGTGCCTGCATCAGTCAGGGTCCCACAGGAAACAAATGGTGTACTTAAAATGGGTGAACGAAGAAAGATCAAGGGACAAGCAGACAATCTATATAAGGGAATCTGTAGAGGGACGGAGCATCCTAAATTTTGCAGTAGCTCAGAGAAGGGTCCAGCCATGACTGGAAATGGGGAGAGGTGGATTTAGGGATCCTGCCGCCATGGCTTTGGCCTTGGGAAGAGGAATAAAGCCACTGTCAGTGTGGCCCAGGAAGACGAGACCAGAAAACAGACCCTGGGGGAAAAAAATCTTGTTGCCGTCCTGACTTTCTCACAGTGCCTCCCACTGGCCAAAGCTGACCACAAAACGAGAGAACAGGGTGCCGGTGGGTGACGCTGCAGGGAGGAGGGCGGAGAGCAAATCTACTGGGGTAGAGATAGAGAAAGTCCAGGGTTTTCTATAAATGGCGCCACAGAAGGGAGGTCAGCACAGCCCTTCAGGCTTGACTGAATAAAACTGACTGCCATACTTCGTGTGTGAAATGTAAGAGATGATCTTAGCTGCTGTTCTCAGTCTCGAAAATTGTGCTCATGGGGGAGAGCCTGGAGGCCACTGACTGGAGGGTGGGCATGATGCCACTGGGGTGGGGGCTAAAGCCTGGAGGGACAGGAGAAAACCTGGATTCCCGGTGACAGCAGCTGAGCCCGTGAATCAGGGCTCCTGGACAGGGAGCCCTACCTCTGAAGTCCTCAGTGATACAAACACATGCAAGTCGTTTATTGTTTAAACCACTGAGAATTGGTTTTCTTCCCCCCTTGAAACACAGGGATTCATAACAGCCCGGGATAGAGCAGGCTGCTGATGTGATTGCTGATTCCTTTGGTTGTCACGGAGAAAATACCAAATGTGGGGTATCCTTGGACCAGCAGCATTTGCATTGCTTGGGAGACTGTTAGAAATGCCGAATTTCAGGCCACCTCAGCACTTGTACATCAGATTCGGGTCCAGCACAGTGTTTCTCAAACTTGAATGTGCATGCAGATCGTCTGGGGATCTTGCTAAAATGCACATTCTGCATTGAGTAGGGCCAAGATTCTGCATTTCTACCAGTCTCCTGGATGAGGCTGACAGACCCCAGATCCCTGACCCATACTGACTTCTTAGGAAATCTTCTTTACTTTAAAAAAATTTTTTTAGTTTAATGTTTTTTTTTTTGTTGTTGTTGTTTTGAGAGACAGAGAGAGACAGAGCATGAGCAGGGGAGGGGCAGAGAGAGAGGGAGACACAGAATCCAAAGCAGGCTCCAGGCTCCGAGCTGTCAGCACAGAGCCCGACGCGGGGCTCGAACTCACAGACTGTGAGATCACGACCTGAGCCAAAGTCGGATGCTCAACCGGCTGAGCCACCCAGGCGCCCCAGGAATTCTTCTTTACTTTTTAATTTTTTATTCTATTTGGAGAGAGAGAGAGAGAGAGAGAGAGAGACAGTGCATGTGTGAATGGGGGAGAGGAGCAGAAGGAAAGAGAGAGAATCTTAAGCAGGCTCTGTGTTCAGCCCTGAACCAGACGTGGGGCTCTATCCCACCACTTGACCAAAAAAAAAAAAAAAAAAAAAAAAGCCACATTCAGGAACGAACACTGTAATGTCATTTTAGAAAAATCACTAGAGGGGCACCTGGGTGGCTCAGTCGTTTGAGCGTCCGACTTCGGCTTAGGTCATGATCTCGAGGTCCGTGAGTTTGAGCCCCGCGTCGGGCTCTGTGCTGACAGCTCAGAGCCTGGAGCCTGTTTCGGATTCTGTGTCTCCCTCTCTCTCTGACCCTCCCCCATTCATGCTCTGTCTCCCTCTGTCTCAAAAATAAATAAACGTTAAAAAAAATTAAAAAAAAAGAAAAACCACTAGATTAGACAATTTTGGGTTGTTTTTTCCTGCCAACCTTGTGTGCTGCTCTTTACGCCCACACAGCCTGCCCTTCCAACTCACTGAGGTTATCTTGCTTTTCTCCAAAGTCCGGTAAATGTTCACGTTAGAAGCACAGGTGTGACAGCACGGGGACATTATGGTGCTCATTGACAGGAGAAACCTGGGGGATGAACAGTGAGTATTTGTCCCCCCAAACCTGATGGACTTGAGCTGACACAGGGTGTGTTGGTACCAGGGAGAAGCCCATCACCCCACCCAATGATCTCTACTGATCTCCCCCAGCTTCTTATTGTTCAACTTCTTGTCGGCTTGTCCCTTTTACTAGATTACAGTCAGGGACGTCCTGTAATACAGGAGAGAGTTAGATGCCGGCTAAGTCTTCTGAGTCGCACTACCTTCCAGAAGGCAGTGATTCTCAAAGCAAGCTGCATACTACAATCAGTCTTCCAAAACAAAAGCCTTGGTCTCCTCCTAAGAGATTCCGACTTCATGGGTTTGGCCTGCTCTCAGGGCGGCTCAGAATTTAACCCCCTTGAAGGGATTCTAACGGCAGCCATTAAATAGATGAACACACTGATATCACAGAGCTATCTGAGAAGTCAGTTGTTCATATTTTTATTTCTTCAAGTGTTTATTGAACATCTATTTT